TTCGGTATTGTACTGGTCGACTTTGGGGCCTAACCAGCCTCCTATCCAATGGATACTGATGACCTTGTATCAAGGGTTAAAGCGGTCTGGTACTTGAAGCTGACCACCTCCATCTAGTGTCGAGGAAGAATGTGTGAATATATGCTTCCACTCCCCCATACGCCTTCATGGCTTGGTGGTTAATTAAGTACAGGGACAACTTTACTTTTACCTTCGTTCTATAGGCTCACTTTCTGCGATCATTTTCACTATCCCTACTTCACCCCCCCCACACACACACACTCGTACCTTCCATTGCAATTCCTGAAAGTTGCAAACCTTTATGACCCCGTCTGGAGATATGTCAGTCCCTCTGCGGTCAGTTCTCGTTCAGTTACGATCGCTGTCAGTCGGCGTCCGGCCCGTGGACTTGTATTATTTATAAGCAGAGGGTCACGGTCTAGTCAGTTCCCCTTGATGACGGAAACAGTAACGATTCGGAACATCATAAAAATGAAACAGAAAGTGTGTAGGTTCTGTAGGTTGCCGGTGTAACTCCGTAGCGAAAGTTCCCAGAAAGCTGAAACTTGGCGTACTTACGGAAACCTCGGGCATTTTTTTATTGCTAGTGGGGTGGGACTAAGTCCCTCGTACTGCAACCACTTCTGGCCTATTGTACCAGCCCCAGATGATAGGTGAGGGTGATTGCGGAGCAATTGGTGGAATGAAGATTGGCAGGGGAAACCGAAGTACTCGGAGAAAACCTGCCCCAGCCCCACTTTGTCCACCACAAAGCCCACTTGACCAGACCCCAGGATCGAACCCGGGCCGCCACGGTGGGAAGCCAGCGACTAACCGCTTGAGCTATGGGCATTACTTTTGCATACTTTCTGCTTACGGGCTGCACATAAGTGATGACGTAATATGACGGCGATGATAGATCCGTTGCTAAGCAGTGACTCTGTAAGCAATGACCGTTCCTGACCAACGGCTCGGTAAAGAAGTCTCCGCGGCAACGAATACGCATGAAATAATAGAGTTATTGTTGAAAACGGGGTGTTTTCTATGTGGTCCCTGCTGAGATGTTATAAGCAAGGGACAAAGTTAATTCAGAGATAGTTCTGCTGTGAAAAGAAGATTCGTGAGCGTGAAGACAAAGAATCTCCGATGCTAGAAGCCGTTGCTAGTAAACGGCTGGTGAAGACACAACAGGCTGGATGAAGTCTTAGAGGGTGTTGAGGTAATTTGTGAATTGTGGAGATTAGCGATGGCTCTGTAATTGCTTGTAGTTTCGAGTCGTGTGTATAAGTGGTCACTAAATCTATTCGCCAATCCAAACCATCTCTATAGTCATACTCCTAAATCGTGACACCATATAGTATATGTACTGCCCTCTAGTGGCAGCAGTGTAATCTGTGGATCTGTCCGTGAGTTCATGTCGCCAAACCGTAGGTAGTTAGTTACTGGAGAGGGTGGGTTTCCCCATGCACTTAGATCTGTATTGGTCCATTGTGCTTCCCTCTATGATTTCTACCAGTCTCTATATCCTACCGATATTGGTGCGTACCATCAGTCCCGACCGAGCCAGCGAGTTCAGCCTCCACTAGCTTGGCGGTATCTGTAATGCTTCCCCCATCTATCAGAGGTATTAGAGACTACTGTTCGGGAAACGTCCTTAAATTTGGCTCAGTGACCTCCTTTGGAGATATGAGGTTCTTTTACGTGCCGTAAAGCTACCCGTACCCACGGCTTAAAGTCCCTCCTGGAGGACTTGTTCCCTGAATTTTTCCGCCCTTAAACGCCGGGTCTGAACCCGCGTACCACGAGTCATGAGGTGGGAACGTTACCTCTAGACTACGGAGGCCGCTTCGCCAAACCGTAACTGTAATACAAACATGTATATTGATGCAGATTTTCGTGAATATGCTAGTGCTCTCTTGAATGACATGACTTCCAATTGTATTTCTGCAGGCATCTGACGTGCCTGTGATTATCGTATGGGGCAGTGAAGAAGCGTTCATATAAGATTACATCGTAGTGCGTGTTCGATCACAACGGAGACCGCTTAGGCCACGCTATCGCTTAGCAGGTTAGTTGCTCACTTCTGACGGCTGGGGCCAGAGTTTGATCCGAGGTAACATCATGTGGAAATTGGGGTTGACAAAATGGCACTGGGGCAGGTTTTCTCCAAGTACTTCGATATCCCCTGTCAATTGTTATTCCATCAACTGCTCCATAATCATTAATCGTCCTGTCTCAGGGGCTGTGCAGTATCAATACTGACAGCGTCGTTAAACAAGGAAGGAAAGGAAACCGTTAACTTAATCCGGGCAAGGCCGGGTCCTTGTAGCTAGTAGGAAATATAACCCGCTCTTATAAGCTGACGTTACCCCGAAAGAGGGTCTACTTTGACAAATATTCTATCTTGTCGGTACGTTCGAAGGATGCTGCAGCATAATGTACGGTCGAACTTTTACAAACAAATCGGGTTGGCTTCATGGTACAGAGACTTACTTTATGGGCCTTTAGTTCCCGACATCCACAATGTAAACCCCTATCGAAACACTTGAGTCCAGTCCGCATTTGTTTCAACAACTGCTACTATTATCCTACTATCAATAAATCGAATAATGACATATAAGCTAAAAATCGGGAATATATATATAAATTAACTAATAAAATACAAATAATTAAAGTTAATTGGCTACATGTGGAAAGAATGGAAGATATCTCGGTTATCACTTATTTTACTGATCAAAGGCGGGGTTCTGATTGGTAATTGGATTTACTGACCAATTACAGGCCGTAACTAAAATTAATTATTACACTGTTGCTGCTTTACACCATATACAATCACTCCATACTAATCTCCTCAGTCTCTTTTCACTAGTCTTCACTATCCGTTTATAACACAGGAACTATAAAAGTCTCACTAAATTACGCACTCCCAATGTCGCTGTGCTACAGCACCTGTAAAGACACACACAAAGCCTTGGCATAGTATATTCATTCTGGGACTACTGGCCACACGACTGCTCCCTTGGAACTTCGGAATCCAACTCAGTTGCTGCAAGCGATTTTCCGTGGCTGTTATAAATATTCGGCACGGACCACTCACAGAAAACACAGCCCCCATGCTGTTGCGTGGCGCAGACCACATAGAAAACACAGCGTCCTCTATTACTGAGTGACGGCTCTGTTTGGGTTACCACGTGATCGCCACCCAGCCAGCTCATCGGCGCGCTGACACATACCTGGAAACGAGTTGTGTAACATTCCTCCATTGAAAACACAGCTCCCATTGTCGGTGTTGGAACGTGTGTACGGAGCCGTTGCCTAGCGATGCGTCACACTGTCTATGGATCTAGATCTACAGCCCTGTTGGACCTAGGCCGCTTTTTCAGTTTCTTAATCTGCACACAGTCTGCAGGACTCATTGGACGGGGTATCAGCCCGCCGCAAGGCCGCTACCTACAAACAGAGCAGCACAAACACAAAATAAATACACACAAATATACATGCTTCGAGTGAGATTCGATCCTACGATCTCAGTGTTCGAGCGGGCGGAGACGGTTCATGCCTTAGACAGCGCTGCCACTGTGATCGGCGAGTGGAAGCTACAGATTGCCGAAATGCATCCTGGACTATAAAGCAGTGCGGAGAAGAAATGTGGGAAGACCTAGGAAGAAGTGGAAAGATAACAGCGTGGCCACGCCTTGAAGTTGATGATGATCATTACCTTATCTATGGAAAGCTTGCTCTTCACCCCTCAAGACGGAAGTTATATATTTTCAATTCAGTTAAATTTCACCCATCTATACGGAATTATATCCCGGAAGAGAGAACTCTTTTGTGGTCATCTGCGGTGTGATACCGTGCAAACTTGCAAGCGAATGCTGAAGCTTCAGGGAAACATCTTACTTCCATCGTCATTGGCTTTTTTTTCTTTTCCTTGGCACTACAGCCCCAGTGGGCCTAGGCCTACCTCCATGAACTTCTCCGTTCACTTCGGTTTTTCTAGATCGTACACATTCGGTAGGACTCCTTGGGCGAGTGATTGGATCGTCGCAAGGCCTCTATCTGTAGACAAACACAGAAAAACGCGCACAAACATCCATGCCCTAAGTGGGATTCGAACCGACGATCTCAGCTTCCGAGAGAGCGAAGACAGTACATGCCTTAGACCGCTCGGCTACCGTCTTATTAGATATAATCGTATACGAGTATTCCTTTGAAACTGATATCTGCCTATAATTCTGCACATCATGACCACCCACAACACCACAAGCTGAACCATCACAGGATTGAAAACATTAGAATTTACACAGGCCTAAATGTTCTGACTTTGAAGTTTCCGGACCAAAACTACGTATGCATTACTCGTTTTCGCCCTTCGTTTATCCCATACTATATTTAAGTAAATTTATTTCAGAAAAATATTGTTGGTTATAATTTGCACATGTTAATGAATTATTTCTATAGGATACTTTTAAAATAGACTCAATTAAAAAACTTCTATGTGGGAATTTATTGTAATCTACTCTATTGAAATATCTGAACTTCCATCTTCAAATTTAAAGAGTAAGGCAAGGAAGAAACCGGCAAGAGGCAGTTTTGCTCTCTGCTGGCCTGGCTTACTTTCACATCCTAAAGATGGAGGGCGTATATTCCTTGAATACGTAGGTAAACTTCTATTGGACTGCCCGGCGTGGCGTCCCAGTCACTGCAATGAGAACCGACAATCAAAAACATCTGACAAAGCTGCTGGAGGGGCTGGTGAGAGTAAAGGAAGAATATTTTTTCTTATGGAGAATTAAGGTCGAATGTAGTTTTCCAACACATGATTTAAATCAGAACACTCTGTAAATTTCAGGGTTAAGAGAAAGTCCTTATGGCTACTTGTCTGTAACTTCGACATTACGTAATGTCCAAAATCGATCAGAGTGCGCATGGCTTCACCGTTTGGGCATCCGCTCTGTCACCTGTATCGAACGAGCGGCGGTAGTCGAAGGCTGACTCCTGCGAAGAAGAGTAGATGTTGCAAGTGCGGTGATATGTGCCTCTGACGTTTCGTTAGTGAGATTCACAAAAGAAAGTTTCTGTAAGCTTGTGAAAGTGACCGAAAATGAAATTGTTTTAGATTTGAGGTTCTTGCAGCTCGAAATATGAAGAATTATATGTATATCTTCTGGGATATTGCTGCCTAATTTATGTTGGTTTCTTGCTTGGATTCCTCTTCGAATCTGAACATGGAGGTCATATGTTACTCCGAAACGTACGCTGACTTCCACAAGATGTTATATCCCAGAAGATAGAAATCTTCTGTGTTGTTATTGTTTGTTTCTGTTCTGCTGGGCTTCAGACATTTCTAATACGGTTTTGTTTAGTGAGCAATGTTCTTTCGTTGCGTTTGAAGTCATATTTCCTTCCGGACTCGTCGAAATCGGACTTTAGGAGTTAGAATACTTCTAATTTCTATTCTGTCGGTTATAATTTTGGGCGTATGCTTGCAAGGCACACGTTTACAATATGACTAGATTTGTTGTGTAACTAAGAGAATTTTCTGTTGGAGTTATTGGCGGCAAAAACGAAAGAAATCCAGGGAAACTTTACTGCATTCTGTAGTGTACTTGACTTAGCTCTTGGCACCTCAGACTGTTTGCATTGAATGACCTTGTGACAGTGAATAACTAATTGTAAATGACATAGTAGGAAGCGGCAGCGATTCAGTTCAAGGGAAGATTCCAGCATCGGTAATGAGACACTGAGGAAAACCACCTAAACAGTCGGGTCTATCGATATCCCGCCCGCGATATGAACCGGGTACTTCTAAAACAAAAGCCAAAACCCACTCCCTGAGCCAACATGAGCGGCATCAATGAGAAGTCTGTGTATTTAGGCAAATCAGAATTGTCTACGTTCTGTGTTAAATACCAAAATCAATTTCAGCACTCACTTCACCGCCCCTGCGCAACCTCATCCATAAATTAGAATTCACACTTTATCTCTCCTCATGCTTTGGCCTACCTGGTCATCACTTGCATACGGTTCTAGATGAAAACTCCGACTCTGCTGTTACGCTACTGTATTTTGCAATTTACGTATAATGTAACTCTCTATAAATATTAAGTCACTTTTTATATTATTATGCCGTAGTTACTTTCGTTCTGAACAAATATGTCGTGTGTTTGTTGTAACTGTAATATGTAATAATGAGTTATATTTATGTTGTATTTAAGAGATGGATATCTAATATATATTTATTCTATCTATGTAATTGTAATGGTACTTAGATTCCTTGTGTGCGTGCATGCGTGTGTTCTCTTTGTTTCATGCAGTGGTTCTGTTTTTATATAGGGTATAGGCTGTGTGTGCTGCTAACTGGTGTTCGTTTCTTGCATTCTTCTGAATACTGGGTTATATGTGTCAGTGTTTGTGTCACTCATATGTAAACTATTTTTACTAATTTTATATGGTATTTTTCTAATATGTGTAAATGTTTTCCTTTTTATGTGTTCTTATTCTGTCCATTGTATCCGTTACGATGCCATATGTATGCCCCGTGTTTAATATGTGGCTTGAATAACCCGAATTGCTACTATTATTTCTAATTGCCTGTATATGTTAACATTTATAATACCCAACGACTCCTGCCATCTACACGAAAATAAATTTTAAATATCAAGTATCAACAATTTAGAAAAAAAGATTAAACATATAACCAATGTTTCATTCATTCATTCATCAGTAATCTGTCAGACGACAGGTCCACAGTCTCTTCCAAAACAGTTCCTCCACTTAATGCGATCTTCTGTTTTTGGAAAGAGACTATCCAGGAAAAGTGATAATGTGGTAGTTTTTCCATTTGCTTTCCACATCGCAGTACAACTGCCGTTCAAACCACTCTGGTCACGCCTGTTGCTATACGAACTTGAACCATCTCGAGCATCATTTGCTCTGTGCTTCAAGTCGCTGCTGATGACGCTGCTTCCGGCATCAGTTTTTGGTGTCTCTCTTCGTCTGATGCCTACCCTTTGANTTAAACATATAACCAATGTTTAAGGAAGCCAAAAAAAAAAGAACTAAAAAAACAACTCCGTGATTTTAGTCCGCAAGCGAACTATACAGACCGAGCGACCGCCGCTTGTCGGCGAAGTTTAGTGTCAACTTTTGCGTATAGAGGGTATCGCGTGGTCAGCGCAACGAATCCCCACGGCTGCTAATTTCGGTTTTCTAGACCGGACCAGCCATTTTCTTGAAACAGCTCCTGAATTATCCTCACGAGGCTGAGTGGACCCCGTTCCAGACCCACTACTTCTCAAGAAAGAACTAGAAGTTATAAAATTATATTATATAAAAATTATAGTGTAAACAAATTAAAAAACGTCCAGCCCCACAAGAACAGAATACAGACATCGACCCGCATCACTGAAAAACAAAATTGGCCATTTTCAGATACAACGGAAAAGAAACCAAAAAAATCGCAAAAACTATTCAAGGACACGAAAAAACAGCACTTAAATGCAACACACAATAAAGAACAAAATAAAACAACATCCACGGAGAGACAAATGTAACAAGTTTCATCTAGGAAACGAAATGTCTAGACTGCCCATTAAAACACATAGGACAAACAGTAAGAATATTCCACATTACATACAAAGAACATATACAGACAATTAGAAATAATAGTAGCAATTCGGTATACTCAAGCCACATATCAAACATGGGGCCGTAATAGACACAATGGACAATATATGAGCACATGAAAAGTAAAATATTTAAACACATTGAAAAATCACAATATATAAAAAACAGTTAAAATAACTTACACGTGAATAACGCAGTGATACATATAACCCAGTATTTAGAACATTTCAAGAAATGAACACCAGTTAGCAGCACACACTTCCTATCCCCACATTTAAAAGCAGAACAATTCACGAGACATCCAGAACAGCTACACACACACAGAAGCATAAGAAACGTTACAATTACACAGAACAACAGTACATTAAATATCCATCTCTTAAATAAAACATTAATGTAACCCATTACTACATAATACAAATACACCAGACACACAACGTATGTGTTCAGGACAAAAGCAACTACGGCAAGGTAGTCTAAAAAAACAGCTTAAATAGTTTATAGACAGTTTACATTAGACGTAAATTGCAAAACACAGTAGCGTAACAACAGAGCAGGAGTTTCCATCTAGAACCGTATGCAAGTGATGATCGCCAGGTAGGCCAAAGCATGAGGAGAGACAAAGAGCCCTCAAAGTGTGAATTTGAATATGTGGACGAGGCTGCAGAGGCACCGTGAAGTGAGTCCTGAAACTGGAATACACTGTACAGCGGGATGCTGTAATACAATATTATCAACATCAGACTTATTAGTCTGTTCCGACTGAAGGGTCAAATCGGAATTATTTTCCATTATTTTGTACGGCCTTCACCTTCCAGCTCCCTGCGTACGCTGGAATAATAATTCGGCAGGTTTCCATTATTTCCAGGAGGTGGGATCTCTTCGTTTGAAGTAAAACTATTCCGTCTAGGGCGATAAAAATTTAGAGTACAGATTCCGTAAAATGGACTAATTAAAGTACCGGTGTGTTCGGACAATGGAACCGTTCGTATTACTGGATATCATGTAAATATCTATTTCTAGTACAGATACTTATTCAAAAGTTATAGATATATATTTTGTATAAATAAAGAAGCAGAAATATTCCGCTCTATAAAGGGGGTCGGGACAAGCGGAAAGCGGGTTATTTTCCGTCACCCAGAGGGCAGGTCCATCAACACATCTTGTTCCACAATAATTCAGTTTTCCTGCAAGAAAGTAAAATCATTAGATTAAAATCATAATTTTTATATATGACTTATTTTTGTGTTGCTACTGTAGCTGAATTTGGATTACCGAGCTTCAACTGTATTTAGTTCTTGTCTGATGCTTTAGCTTTTCGTACAATGTGTTTGCGTCTACAGTGCGACTGAATATTATCCCCTTTCCTCCTCACAACATGTTTCAGCTGTACGCGGCCATCATCAGGTGTCTCCAATTCGCTAAATTAGTTGCACTGTATTCTCACATCAAATGTGCATGCGATATCTCGTAACTTGAAATAAGTGAAATGCAATTAAGATCAATTAGTATTAGTGAAGTTATCATGTATGCCCCTTTGACTGTATGTTCTTCACCCTGTTTGTGTATGTAGACCTTCTTTATCTTTCACACGATCTCCTGCAACTTGCAACGTCTCCTCTGGAAGTAGCTGTCAATAATAATCGACTTAGGTGACAAATTTACATTGTCGCCGTACATAAATCATTTCATGTGTACAAAAGAACAAACTCTGTGGCTTTAGTCTAATTATACTTGGAGAAGAGCACAAGTTATGAAGCTCCTCATTATGCAGTTTTCTCCAACTTCCTGCAAGTTCCTCTCTCTTCGGTCCAAATATTCTCCCAAACATCCTGTTCTCAAACAGTCTATATTCCTCCCGTAATGACAGAGAACAAGTTTCACATCCATACAGAACCACACGCAAAATTATGAATTTGTACTTTCTAATTTTTATGTTTTTGGACAACAGACGGGAAGACAAACGGTTCTGGACTGAATGGTAGCAAGCATTACCCGAGTTCAATCTCCTCTTAATTTCCTCCTGAATCAGGGTTTGATTTGTTATAGTTGTTCCCAAATATCTGAACTGTGCCACATTTTCAAAACATCTGTTTCCTATCTTTATGTCATGATATTGCTCTGCATTTTGGTGACAAGACAGCAACATATACTTAGTTTTCTCTGTGTTTACTTTTAGACTAACTTTCTTACTTGCGTCAATTAAAGTTTGTGTCTTTCTCTTTATGGTATCTATATTATAACCCAGTAGATTTACATCGTCAGCATAGACCAACAGCTGAGGTGTCCCATTGAATTTTAGTTCAACCTGGTTTTCCTGGACCTTCCTAATGATATATCCTAAAGCAAAATTGAAAAGCAGTGGCGTTAAAGCATCTCCTTGTTTTAGACCATTCTGGATAGGAAAATTATCAGGCAGATGTTTATCTACGCGGACTTTACCATACATTT